GAAGTCATGAAAATCTAAGGTGTTCAAAGTCTATTGCCTGGCCCAAAGTAGCCCTCAGTCCACTACAGTAATTTCATCATTATCAACTCATGTAATTATTGATTTTAAGTATTGCTGAACACATGAAATCTCTAAAAGATAGAGATTGCAAACATTTAAATGGCTTTCTATAGAAAGCACCTGATAAATACTTTTTAAAATAAAGATCAGAAAATTATAATTGCATTCATTTCTAACAAAGAATTCCATGATAGAAAAACAGCTCATTCTACAAATAAAAGCAGTGTATGCAATATCTAACCACAAATACCCTGATCAAGAGAAAACATTTCAAAATATTTTCTTTAAAGATCCCTAAACTGTTATGGGAGAAAAAGCCAAGGCATAGTACAGACATGAGCAGATTAGTCAAGAATGTGGTTGGCTGAATTAAAGAAATTACATTTTGACAAGGCTAAAGTAGAAAGCAGGCAAAATTCCAAGTCTCTTCTGGTTCATTCAAATTAGTACTTCCCTTCCTTTTTGCAGTTGATAACTTAATTAAAACATTTTATAATTAAAAGGTCAAAAAGTCGTGTGGAAAGAAACAAGACACTTAAGAATATTTTAAATATGTACTGGGTTGACATGAACATTACCCAATATTGTTTAACAAATGCTGAGGAGTTGAAGGTGTCCTGCCTTTGTACAAATTGGGTTTGAGTCTTGGCTTGGCCATCCACCTGCTAAGAGACCCTAGGCAAGTCCCTAGTTTCCAGATTGGTTTTCTGCTCTGTCCATTCTCCTACAAAAACCACACAACCTAAAATGTTCCTCCAGCAGGCTTATACTTGCTTCCTATCTCAAGGTTTTTACATATAATGTTCTGACTGTTCCCCCTGAAAACATCCACCCTCAGCCTTCATCCAGCCAATTCTATCAGTTCTTCAGGTCTCAAGTCACTTACAGTCCTCTGGGCATCATCTCAGCAAACCAGAGTGACCAGTTAACTTCACAGAGTTAAGAGGTAAACATATTTTGGATCATCTGCAATATTGTCAAATGAGAGAGTAAATTCTTTCAACATCTTTCAGGTTTTGAAAAGCAGAATAAAGGAAAAGCTGACAAACAACTGTGAACTCTCTAAATTTAAACAGGTAAATTCAGATTCAAGGTTCAGGAATCATGCCTATAAAACCAAACAACCTAGTATCTTGTAATAAATCTGGTATTAAATGTCATCATAAGTAACAGCTAGACGTCCATCTAGTCACTCAGAATAGAGAGGGAAAAAGGCAAAGGTGTCTGTTTTCTGCTTGTCCCATGGCATGGCCTCATCCTTCTCACCTTATCTTTCCATCTTTATTACAACTGGTGAAAGTCCTGGGGGACAGAGGAGGAGAGCTGCCTGGGCTTCTTTATCACAATTTCAGTTATATGAGCCACACCCATGTCCTATTAGCCATGAATCTCCATCTCCTGTCTTGTCATCCATGCCCATCAATTTTCCATCTTGGCTTTCTTCCCTTTCTTCCCTGGCCCCTCATCACGTTTTCAGCTTACCTTCACTCTCACCCACTCAACTTTTCTCAAGATGTGAGGGACAATGATAAGCAGGAAAAAAAAGACTGATTTAAAGACCTCTGGAGCTACATTTTCTTGGAGAAAATGCTAAAACATATCACAGGAAGTTATCCTGGAGTCTGGAAAAAGGAGAAGAAGGGTTAAATAAAGTAAGAAAAAGACACTTCAGGGAAAGAGTAGAAAAAGAAATAAGATAAAATTGAATAGGCAGGGAGATAAGACACCTGGGCCCCATGCTTATAATTAAGTCCTTCCCTCCCACAATCCCTCCCTCCCACAATCCCAAACATCTTCGGTCTACAGCGTGCCTATCATCTCAGGATACTGGCCACTACCTCCCACTTTGGAGAGAATTTAATCCAACAACAAGAGGCCAAGTTACTTTCTGACAGTGGTGTTTTGAAAAGCTACTACATCTGTTCTTGCTGCTTAGTCCCAAAAAAACATACTGTTCAAGATCTGCAATCAGGCTTACATATGGATGTGGGAGAAAGGAGTTGCTGAGCACCGTGTTATTAACAATAAGAGGGTGGGTTGTGTTTTTTTTGTAATAAACATCCTAACAGCTTGCATGAAATCCAGTTTGCAGCTTCTTCTCTTTAGAATTACCAATGTCCAAAACAATACCCAAAATTACAGCCTCAGGGAATCTACCACAGAGTGCCTGCTTATTTATCCCACCTGCAGTGTGTTTGTTTTCAAATAGGTGCTCGTGATTCTGAATTCTATCACCCTGCATCCAAATTCAGTGGTATTGAGACTGCTGACATCCTACACCTGCCCACACCAGAGAAAAAGTCCTTCCTTCCTTCAAAAGGCCTCAGAGTTCTGTAGAGAAAAAAGATCAAAACCCACCAAGGGAGTTTTCCCTACCATTATTCTTCATTCTCCATTATCTATTTCCCTAGAGAACTTTCTGACCCCAGGACTTTGTGTGTGCCATCCCCCAACCTTAATTAAAGTTCATTTTACTCTCTGGAAGCTATAAGGAGATGAAAGCAGTCCTGGGAAGACCCGGGCATGCTTCCTCCAAACTGACAATAGCCAGCCACCTGTGTGGGGATTTATTCCCCAGCTTCCTAGTTCCTAAGTCAGAGTCACTGCTTATACCCAGAGAACAAGGAGGAGAAAGAACAAAGGGACCAGGTGGCTCCGGCAGAGGGATGATGGGGTGGCTTCTCTTTCATGCCCCACAATGCAGCCTGTGGCTTGTGGAAGCCAGGTTGTTCCCCATCTCCTGCTGTGTGTTGAGACAGCTGTTTGAGTCAGAATAGCAAAAGGAAGGGAGAAACAGGCCTTTCCAAGGGCTGCCCAGTTTTTTATTCTGAAAGAATGAAAACCGCTAAACATGAACCAGAGCCTGTCTTGAAGCACTGCGGAGCCTTTATCTAGCGGTTTAGTTCTATCCTGTCACAAACAACTCCTTGGCAATTATTTTTACTAGTAAGCTGAAGAACTTCAAAATGAACTAAGTCATACGTAGGATGAGGCCACTGTTTACTCTTTTCCCAAAGGGCACAGAGGGTCTTACACAGGCAACTGGCACACAGTCACATCCCCTATGGAAAGTTGGGGGAAAGATCTTGTGGAAGAGTTTTGAGGGAGTATTCTCTACCTTCTAGAAGATTCTGGAACAATAGGTCTGGTAGTACTACCAAAGTAAGAGAGATGAAGAAACAAAATCAGAGAGAAGTCAAGGTGAAAAACTGAAAATTCACATGTTCTTCCTTGTCCTATGTTTCCTGTGGAAGAAGTAGAAAAAAGGAAAAGAAAAAAGAAAAATAAACTTCTTTAGAAGTACTGGTGAAAATAAAATGAAAAAAATTAACTTTACATGTTCTCATCTACAATTTCATGCAATTCATGCTTCTTCAACCAGACTATACAACTCTTGTAATATGCATACTTGCATTTATTTTACTCCCTGTTTTTATCACATGAATACAACATGGTCACTATAAAACTTCTAGAATCTTGATCAGAAAAAAAAATTTAATTAAATTACCACAATCCCTGGAGAAATGTGCCACTGTTAACATTTTAATACATCTTTGCATATTTTTTCCTATACAGACATACACATATAAATACATGGTGGGTTAGTTGCTTGTTTATGAAAATACCCTCATATTATAACTATTGAATTTTTTTAACAATATCTGTGCAAATAATATAGATTTGTTTGCATTCTCTTCTTAAACATTCTTGGCAAATATTCCTGCTATGTACTTTTAGAGTAGTCCTGGAAAGCACACAGGGGCATCTACACATGCTACTGAGGATTTAAAAGCCTAGGAAGTACCAAGTTCACCTACAGCCATAAAATAATCAGGAATTCCCCCATCTATCACTGACAGACCTTCAGAAATTCCTCCTGGGTTAATCACTAAAATAACACTAAGAAAAAAGTGAGACCTTTCCCTAGAGAATCTCTCTCTAGCTGTCTGTCTGAAGTGAGAAAACATTTAATAACCACTTTCCCTGAAGGCTTGAAATGTGGCTTAGAATGACTGTTGAAAGCAAGGTGTGAAAATTGTCTTAACCACTTTCCCTTGAGTATTTATCCATAATAAGTATTTTTTTTTCAAGAATACTTATCATAAAGAATGTTTAGTAGATGTAATAAAAGAATTTGGTCAAACCAAAAAATACATGAGAAATGGTTTTCTTCACTATAGAAAACCATATGCTATCCTAGTTCTGAAGGAAAATTATGAACTTCATGGTATAGAGAACTTAAACAGGAGAGATGTTTATCAACATTCCCTACAGCCTTGACTTAGAAAAAAAAACCAAAATGTTAGATGATCCCAGGTTTTTTCTTAATTATATGATCAAACATGCTGCCATAATTGGAAATAAAATTTTACATCAACATTGTTTAGTCTAAAATGTCTGATTTCCTGTCCACCACCACTGTCCCTTTTCATTGCATGAGCTACTCCACTACAGAAATGTAAAAGCTATCTATCGTGTGTTGTATTAATACTATTCTGTGGGACGGTAGGCTGAGTAAATGTCACACATAGATATAAGAAAAGCAGGCAGATACCATTTGTATAATAGTACTCACTGTACAGGAAGAGAACTCTTATCCTCAGTCCTATCCTTTAAACTACATGAAAGATAATTTAGGAGAAAGAGGTCTGAAATAAATCTGCATATACAGTAACTCAGAAGGAATGTGCCTAAACCCAAGGCCTATCTCACATTTAACATGGCCAGCAGCTCATTTTAATCCATCTCCCCGACCATCATCTTTAAATTAAGACACTTCCTGCTTTTAGTCCATACAGTCCCATTGTCTTGCATCCACTCTCTGTCAATCTTTAATATTCAAGCTTGTTTTCATTCTCTTAAAGACTTTATATTTGCATACTATTTCAGAGTAAAATATTCTTGAAAACAGAAAAGGCAATTTTGCTCTTAAAACTTACCCAGGGCTTTCCAAGACCGTTCTGTGAATTCAAGTCCTTCCCCATTGACAAAATGTTACAGTAAATTTTCTTGTTCATTGAACCCAAGACACTGTCAGCCTCACGTTAGAGGGACTCACAAAATTTAGCCAGCAACCTTTATACCGAGCAAAACACAGATTATCAAATGAGCAGCCAGCATGTCTAAGGGACTCTGGTGCTGCAATTTGAGAAGGCTGAAAAAGAACACCAAGAGAGTGAACTGCTAATTAATTCTTCTCCTCCCTGACAGTCCCAAATGTTTCAAACAACTGATCTGGGAACACAGTTTTGATATTGTTGAGATAAAGACTTGATTTGTTCCCAAAATGCTGGGAGAGCTGCTGCAACCCTATCTGGTGAGAACCATTTGTACTCTTTTCTTCCCAAAGCCAGAGGTAAGGTTCGCTTCTAAAGACAAGGATTACTTCCTGTCTTTTTTTCCAAGTCTGACAGTCAAGGGGCTGACTGACCATGCATTAAAGCCTTATCAACCTAGCACTGAATTACAGACTACTTTAGATCAGCCAAAGCAATGTCTGTCTCTTGGTTGCCAAAATAGAATTTCCTGACAGATACTATTAAAATACAGAGTTCTCACAACATGTCCAGAAACAGAAATGAAAACACAAGATTACCCCTTATCTTACAGTATTTATGGGGACTGGGAGAAGTAGTGGAAATGACTACAGGAGAATAAACAGGTAAAAAGCTGCAACCTGACGGAAAGGAATTATATGGTAGAGGTTGGAGAGGCAAGGTGAAAATCACCACAGGCAAATGAGACTAGCAAAGTATGCAAGTACACTGTTCTCAGGTCTACCTCCAGCTGTCACCCTCTGTTACCCTCCTTTTCACAGTCAAAGCTCTAGAAAGGTTCAACCGCAGCAGCGTTTTTCAACCTTTTCACAACTGACATTTAGGGCTGGAGACTTCTTTGTTGTTGGGTGGCTGTCCTGTACACCAGTGGTCCCCAACCTTTTTGGCATCAGGGACAGGTTTTATGGAAGACAATTTTTCCACGGGCCAAGGGTGGGAAGTTGGGGGGGGGTGATTTCAGGATTATTCAAGTGCATAACATTTATTGTGCACTTTATTTCTATTATTACATTGTAAAATATAATAAAATAATTATACAAATCACCACAAGAAAAAAAAGAGATGCAGATGGAAGTGGTAAATAAAATAATGGGTGGGACATACATGGACTAAAAGAAGTGTCAGATTCTGACTCAAAGCCTGCCATCAGATGCAGCTGTACAATTGGAGTACATCAACTCACTTGCTACTCACTGATAGAGGTTTTTTTTGTTTGTTTGTTTTGAGTTGGAGTCTCACTCTGTCACCCAGACTGGAGTGCAGTGGCCACTCCTGGTCACCACAGCCTCGACCTGCTGGGGTCCGGCGATCCTTCCGCCTCAGCCTTCCAAGTAGCTGGAACGACAGGCGTGCGTGACCACACCCGGCTAATTTTTGACTGATTGTAGAGATGAGGTCTCGCCAAGTTGCCCAGGTGGGTCTCGAACCCGCGGGCGCAGGTAATCCACTCACCTCAGCCTCCCAAAGTGCTGGGATTACAGGCTGAGCCACCGAGCCTGGCTTGATAGAGTTTTAATATGAGTCTGCAAGCAACTGATTAGCAGTCAAACCTCACTGCTAATGTTAATCTGTATTTGCAGCCACTCCCCAGTGCTGGCTCCACCTCAGATCATTGGGCTTTAGAGTCTCATAAGGAGACCACCACCTAGATCCCTCGCACGTGCAGTTCACAGTAGGGTTCCTGCTCCTATGAGACTCTAATGCTGCTGCTAATCTGACAGGTGGTGGAGCTCAGGCGGAAATGCAAGCACTAGGGAGTGACTGAAAATACAGATGAAGCTTCACTCACTCACCCACTACTCATCTCCTGCCATGAGGCCTGGTTCCTAACAGGCCATGGACCAGTATTGGTCAGTGGCCCAGGGGTGGGGGACACCTGCTGTATACTATAGGGTGTTTAGCAACATCTCTGGCCTCTATCCACTAGATGACAATAGTATCCCGCCTGCCCCGGTTCAGTTCCAACAACCAAACATGTCTGCAAACATTGCCAAGTGTCCCTGAAGTCCAAAACTGCCCTGGATTGAGAAGAGCTGATCTAGCCTGGGCCACCATGCATGGGTGGTGCATTTTGCACACTGAACAAGTGCACCCAACTAAGGCGGCATATGGGGAGCCAAAGTCCCATGCATGGTCCACTCACCAAGTCATATACCCAGGGGCTATGTTCATCCAGAAGGGGCACACTTTTTCTAATGTCCTCCAAAATTCCATACAGGCCAGCAGAAGTACAGCATCTCCATATGCTGTCGCTCTTCCCTCACTTCCCATCCACTCCTTGACCCTCTGTCTAGCAGCCATAAAGCCCCTAAAACTTTTCTTGTTGCCAAACCCAGCAGCCACGACTCAATTCTCATTGCTCTGCAAGATCTGATGCTGGTAACCAACCCTCTTTTAAATGCACCCCTGCAGGTTTCCTTTGCCCTTTCTGGCCATTTCTCCTCAGTCTCCTTTGCAGACTGCTCTTCAGAGTTCTGCACTAATCCCTCTTCTACTTCCTCAACCCTAACTAGGTGATCTTAAGGTGCACTTAACATCCACATGGGAGAGAAATGCAAGGTTCCAATTCACATTTCCCCCTCGTTGTCTCCCAGACCCTTGAACTCAATCTGTCCATAAATGAGCTTGTCAAGCTCCTTCACAAACCTATCATGCTTCCTTCACTGTATAGCAGCCCAATCCTCACAAGACTTGACGCTTCCCTCTCCCTATTCAACCCTCCAATCTGTCCACCACAGCCAACTCAGGCTACAAGTTCTCTCACATGGGTAATACTGCAGGTGCCTTAGTGCCCAGGCCACCCTCCCATACCCAAGGTGGAGAGAATATTCCAACCTGCATTTCACTCACCAGCTTAAAACTTGTCAATGATTTCTTACCACCCTTGAGATAAAGTTTAACATTTCTTAATAAGGATTACCAGGCTCTTTATGACTTATCCCACCACTACCACCCATACCAAGCCGCACACCTCCCCCCTCAGTTTGAAATCACAAACTGAACTCTCCTTGGTTCAATACAGGATGCTCTCCCTCCTGTTTCTGGAATACCCTCTTCCTCAAATCTACCACTTGACCTGGTTAACTCCACCTCCCTTAACAGGTTTCATCTTCAGCTTCTCAGACCTCCACTTCTCACTAATATTTTCAATATTATGTGCCCACAATAGCCTGTACTTCCCCCTATCAGAGCACTTGTTCTGCTCATGTTTCTGATTCCCCAAGGAAACATGCTACATCCCCTCTTTTCACCATTGACCAGCTCCAACCTCACTTATTCCTCCACACAGTGTTGGCTAGTTCCTCAACTAATTGCTGACCTCAAATTTGTTCTGGCTTATCATCAATAAGGAATATAAGAAGTCCCAAAACTATAGAATGCCCCTCTCTGCACCAGATGCTGTAGTGATCTCAAACTATACATAACATTGAACTAGCCCTCAAGAAATATATCAAAGCTGGGCTCGGTGGCTCAGCCTGTAATCCCGCACCTTGGGAGGCTGAGGTGAGAGAATTGCCTGAGCCCGCGGGTTCGAGACCCGCCTGGGCAACTTGGTGAGACCTCATCTCTACAATAAATGAAAAAACTAGCCGGGCGTGGTGGCGCGTGCCTGTAGTTCCAGCTACTTGGAAGGCTGAGGGGGGAGGATTGCTGGAGCCCAGCAGGTCAAGGTTGCAGTGGCCGGGAGCAGCCACTGCACTCCAGTCTGGGCGACAGAGTGAGACTCCAACTCAAAAAAAAAAAAAAGAAGAAATATATCAAGGAGGAGAAATTATAGAATGTGAGATGTTGGCCGGGCTTGGAGGCTCAGCCTGTAATCACAGCACTTTCGGAGGCTGAGGCAAGTGGCTTGCCTGAGCCCGTGGGTTCGAGACTAGCCCAGGAAATTTGGTGAGACCTTGTCTCTACAATAAATCAGAAAAAATAAAATAAGCTGGGCATGGTAGTGCACACCTGTAGTTCCAGCTGCTTGGAAGGCTGAGGCGGAAGGATCACCTAAGCCCAGCAAGTTGAGGCTGCGGTGGCCATGAGTGTGCCACTGTACTCCAGCCTGGGTGACAGAGTGAGACTCCAACTCAAAAAATAAAAAATAAAAACAGCCAGGCATGGTAGCACATGCCTGTAGTCCCAGCTACTGGGCAGGAGGAGGTTGAGGCTGCGCTGAACTGTGATCATGCCACTGCATTCCAGCCTGGGTGACAGAGTGAGACCCCAACTTAAAAAAAATAGAAAATCTGAACAGACCAATAATGAATAAGGAGATTGAATCAGTAATCAAAACTTCTCAACAAAGAAAATCCCAGGACCTGATGGTTTCACTGGTGAATTCTCCCAAACATTTAAAGAATAATTAGGCCAGGCGCGGTGGCTCACACCTATAATCCCAGCACTTTGGGATACTGAGATGAGAGGATTGCCCGAGCCCATGGGTTTGAGACCAGCCTGGGCAACTTGATGAAACCTCATCTATACAATAAATTAAAAAAACAACAATAGCTGGGCATGGTGGCACACGCCTGTGGTACCAGCTACTTGGAAGGCTGAGGTGGAGGGATCACCTGAGCTCAGCAGGTTGAGGCTACAGGAGCTGTGAACATGTCGCTGCACTCCAGCCTGGGCACAGAGTGAGACTTCAACTCAAAAAAAAAAAAAAAAAAAGAATAATTAATGCAACCCCTTCTCAAACTCTTCCCAAAAATTGAAGAGAAGGGAACACTTCCAAACTCATTTAACAAGGCCAGCATGGATACTACAAGAAAAGTATAGGCCAATATACTTAATGAACACATAGATGCAAAAATCTTCAACACAATACCAGCAAACCAAATTCTTTAAAAAGAGTATGTACAATGATCAAGTGGGATTAATCCCTGTGGGATGTGAGGATGGTTTAACATATGCAAATTAACACATTAATGAAATGTAGGATAAAAACAACATGATCATCTCAACAGACACAGAAAAAGCATTTGACAAAATTCAACATCCTTTTATGATTAAAAACTTTCAACAAATTAGTTATAGAAGGAATGTACCTCAACATAATAAAGACCACATATAACATGCTCATAGCTAGTATCATACTCAAGGGTAAAAAGCTGAAAGCCTTTCCTCTAACATCAGGAGCAAGACAAGGATAGTACTGGATGTTCTAGCCAGAGATACTAGGCAAGAAAATAAATAAGAGACATTCAAATCAGAAAGGAAGAAGGTAAATCATCTCTGTTTGCAGGTGATGTGATCTCATGTATAGAAAACCTTAGTGATATCACCAAAAAAAGAAAAAACTGTTTGAACTAATAAATT